ACTGTTTCAAAAATGCAAACAATGTTTATTTGTTGCTCATAAGTAATTCATGGACCCAACAATATTCAACAAAACTTCTTCATTTTTAACAGATTTCTTAATGAGCATCATTTTACAGAAAACCACCAACAAATAAATATATGAAAACAATTGCTTTTGACATCACAATGGTTAAACACATTAAATAATTCATTAAATTGTGCTTTACATCAATGAAAATCCCTAGGTCTACAAACTATCTTGTAAATAGGAATAAAAGTAGATATGGTTACTCACAATACAATCTCTTAGTAGCAGAGTTCACGCACATTATTGCACATAAACAGAAGGAAAATTCCTAAAGAATAAATTAATTTACAGCCTATTAATTTACCCTTTCATCTTAAATATGGCAACTGATGGGAGCTCTTGATTTTTTTTTTTTGATTTTTTTTTTCACTTCCAACATTTATTTGAAATCATGGAGCTAGAGATATGGCCAAGAAGAGAACCGAGGTCATTGTAGGCTATGGAACCCATTTCCCTCCACAAAATATCAACAAAGAAAGTATTATAAGAACCAAACTGAAAGAAGTGTTTCAGTGCAAACTGGGTACCTTTTCTGAGTATGCTTTTGCCACATGTAGGGAGGACACAGCAATCTGCTCGAGCAGAATGATTTTATTGTGATTGTTCATCTCGTACAGGGTAGTCTCCACCAACTTGGAAACAACATATTCCTTATTTCAGACAAAAAAAAATAGTATTTCCACATGTATCAGAGGAGCAGCGATGGAGGGGAGGGAAAAAAGTGTCGGTGAGGTAAGTTTTATAGCATGAGTGCTCATAACTGATGCAAGACTGCAGGTGGGAAACAAGAAGCCACTAGGGCAGAAGGAAGCATGTGTTAACGAGAAGGGCAACTTGGGAAACCTCCTGCTTTAGTAGTGAGCATCAAATCTGAAACATCTCCAGATGCAAAGGTGATGTGAGCTGCCATTTGGGTTGGTTGAATGGATATGCTCCAGCTAGGAAGTTTGGCTCTGGATCTGACTGCCATCACTTTTTCGTTCTGTACTTCTGTTTTTAGTTAACCACAAATAACTACTGCATACTGGGTAGAAGCCCTAGCAAGGCTATTGCAGCTTCCACCATTAACCCAGCTGCAGTAAAGAATAACCAACATCAGAAACAGTGGGTTTTTTGCTTTCCCCATGGTGAAAAAGCTTTTTATTGTTAGCACTGATGAGCGGGGAAGAGAGTACAGATTTTCATTCCTTAATAAAGTATGGCCCACAGACAATAGGCTGAGTTCTTGGACTAGACATCGAGTTCCCAGAAACAAGTTTTAATGACACAGCATGTTTCTTTGTCTGCTCCAAGCCTACAGTGAATTATAACTGGGAGAGGCAGCCAGTGCCGAGGATGTGATGGGAGAGATTAGCAAGTACATCTCCATTACAAAAGAATGAGATTTGTTTCAGCACCACAGTAGCAGAAGCCAAATTGCCTTGTTTAAGCAACAAAATAATGGCAGGAAGATGGACAGAAATCCTATAGCGCTGTTGCTCACGAAGGCTTTGAAAGAAACATGCTGCGCTCCGATCTTATACAAGCCCATGTAATTACAGTGAAGTCCGTGCTGTCAGAGCAACGAAAACCTGGAGTAACAGAGATACGGACCAGGGCCTTTGTTTTGCTTTTGCATTACATTATTTCGGGCGCAGCGCCTGAGAGGAAAAAAGCGGCAAGCCTATGTCTTAGAAGTCAGCCTGAAAGTATTTCCAAACTGCTTTATTTTTCATGTGCCAGGAAATTCTGCAAAATAAAACAGCATCGCTGGCGCAGTGAGTTTGCTGGATCTGCTGCTGGAGCTGGGGACGGATGTGCTGGGTCCATCAGTCCTGGGGGCTCTGGGCAAGATCTCAGCCCCCCCCTCAACTGCTCCTGCACAACCAGGCTACCTGATGCACAGGCTCCGGGGAAGAAAAAACCCAACAAACCAACTTCAATTTTAACTAAATCCCAAGCGTCAAGGCAAATCCCGTTAACATAGACGCTACAGCACATTAGCAGCTGTTCAGGACCCTAATCTTGTCTCCTGGGAAATGACTGACGGAAAGGTTAGGAATCGCATTAAGGTATTGCCAAACTATTAAAGCTAATGTAAACCACCCAAAGACTGCTTCGATTTTCCTCATTAGGCTTTGTTTCGTGTCAGGCAGAAGGAACAGCCTGGAGAAGGGTTGGTGTGCTTAGACAGCTAAAACTGATACTTACAGTCAGTGGTGAAGCTGCAGGGAACAATTTCTGAGCTCTGTCTCCTCTCCCCTGAAAAGATAACACTGCATTCTCTGAATGAAAAATGAGGCCCTCGTTGCCGTGAGCGGTGCAGAGAGGTGGCCTGCTGGGGAAAGTGGCAGGGACGCAAGGAAGGGGACCCTTTTTTCATGCTTAGGAGGAAAAAGAAGGGATGCTTTACAACAAAAGATGGGCTGGGACTGATTCTACTTCCTCACTTATAGAATCATAGAATATATTCCTCCCTAACGTGAATTTGGCCTTGCATCTTTCCTCCTACATGGC